TTTCTTTCTTTCTTCTATCCTTTTTTGGACTTCAGTTCTTGGATCACACTTCTTTTGGGCATCCTCATCTTGTTGGATCTTTGGATTACATTGGATTTCATACACTTTGGACTTGGACATTTTATATATGGCTAGTTTACTCCTGGGATTGGGCCATTTCGATTGTTTGGCTGGGCTTGGACTATTGGGCTGAAGACTGGATTTGGATTGCATTGGGCCGTGGCTGTTGGGCTTCGGTTCCTAATGGGCTGCTCGATGATCAGGGCTGGCGCGGATGCTTGGTGGACAGGTCGCTTTGGGCTTGGACCGCGGCGGGCCTCGTTGTTTGGGCTGGAGGACGCTGGCCTTGATTCTTTATGGCCGTGGTTTTGGGCCGTTCTTGCATTGGGCCGAGTTGGATTGGGCTGCTTTTGGACTCTCATGGTTTGGGCCTCGCTTTGGCTTATATTTTGGGCTCATTCTTGGCTCACTTGGGTTATTTTGCACCTTTTATTTTCACTTCTTCATTTTAGTTGGGCTTTTCTGGATTTTAGACTGGACTTATGTCGATTGCATTTCTTGGCTCAGAACATTTTTTCTTGATCGGATTATCTGACCTTAGGCCTTATCCTTGCGGGGGTTGGGGCTCCGGGAATGATTTTATTCTTAGATCTAAGTGGAATGTTTTGAGCCGGTTTTGTAATTGTATTTAAGTTTATGTTCCTATATCCGATAGGCTCTTCACATTATAGTTCTTTGGTTGTTTCTTACTCTTTATACAAGTGAGGAGCCTGTTCCTCGCTTGTTCAAACGTTTGTATTCTTTGATTATTTAATACAATGCATTTTATTTTTTTAAAAAAAAGGGCAGTTTCCTAAGAAACAAGCGCCAACATAGGAAGGAAGCTTTAAAAGGAATATATGTCTGCCAACAGTTTTTGATGTAAGAATCTGCTTGTCCATTTGGCTGAAGGAACTGCTTTGCTGCCATTAAAGTGAAAACACCATCCATTTTTGGCTGCCATATAGCCTTATCAGTGAGGCCAGAACCAAAAGAAGTAAGATTCACATTAAAGTGAATGAAAATTCTAGGATCCATATACTGTTGGAGATTATCAAAATTAAAAGCATTATGCTGAATATAATCTTTCAAAGGGGCCCGCAGATAACCCCCATGAGGTTGTGAGGTCACCCTAGCTAAAGCACCCAAGCCAGTCCAGTTGTCCCACCAGAAGCTCAAAGTCCCTGAGTATATTTTCCAGTATATATAAGGTTCAACCTTGGGTTTGATGAGTACCATCCTTCTCCAGATATGAGACTCTCCATACTGCCAGACTTTAGCAATAGGGTGAACTCTTTGACAATACTTAGCCTTCATGAAGATGGACCAGGGACTAGAGGTAGTTCTAAAGTTCCACCACAGTTTAGCACTGTAAGCATCCACCATATCCCTCATTCTAGTAAACCCCAAACCCCCTTCCTTAACTGGGTAACTCATATGGTCCCATGAGCTCCAATGATAGTGAGTTTTATTCTCAGATTGCCCCCAAAAGAAATTGGAAAAGCTCTGTTCCATTTTGGCAAGCACCCCTTTAGGTGGTTGGATAGCAGAGAACATGTGGGCAGGAAGAGCCTGAAGCACACTTTTGATTAGAACTTGTTTTCCTCCAAAGGAGAGGAGTTTCCCTTGCCAGCCTTGGCATTTTTGAGTAATTCTGGATAGAAACCTGCTGAAGTACCAAACCCTCATTCTCCCTTTATATATGGGACACCCCAAGTAATAAAAGGGGAAGGTTTGGTGCTGTACTGCAATAAGATCAGCAACTCTCTTAACAGTTACCTCAGCACTCTTGGGATGCATGTAAAAGGAACTTTTATGAGTACTGACTAATTGGCCAGAAACATGTTCATACAGGTGAAGATCTTCCATGACTTTAATAATAGAATTCCTTCTGCCAGAGGTGAAGATGATCATATCATCAGCAAAAGCCAAATGGCTAATAGGTTGAACTCCTTTAGGTTGGGTAAAAGGGACAATGCCTTTGTGTTGAATTCTGTTGTCAAGCAGTTGAGACAAAAATTCAGATGTGAGAATGAATAGACTATGGGATAGAGGGTCCCCTTGCCTAAGGCCTCTGGAGGAAGTGAAGAAACCCTCCCTTTTGCCATTAACTAAAACAGTGTACCAAATGTTGGAAACCATCCTGAAAATGAGATCAATCCATTTTTCACAGAATCCCATTTGTCTATGAATTTTATTAAGAAAGGCCCATGAAACCCTATCATAGGCTTTTGCCATATCAAGCTTCAAAATAATATCCCTGTGTGCCAATTGCATCCCATGACACAGCTCTTGAGTAATAAGAATATTTTCAATAATAGATCTTCCTTGCACAAAGTCAGATTGTGAAGGAGAAACCAACTGAGGAAGAATAAAAGACAATCTGGTTGCCAAAACTTTAGAGATAATTTTACTACTAAAATTGCTTCCCGACGCACTTTGGAAGTTCACGCAACCCTTTGTGCTCGTTAGACGGTTTTTAAAAGAATCAAGCACATAACTTGCAAAAAAATGATGAAAAGAACAAAAAGGGGTGCAACACGAGGACTTCCCAGGGGGTCACCCATCCTAGTACTACTCTCGCCCAAGCACGCTTAACTTCAGAGTTTTGATGGGATCCTGGTATGATCGCACCCATCAATTGTTGCGCGCATGATGTTCTTATTCCTAATCCGCCGGTATTGCTCATAGTTTAAGCAACAAACTTAACTTAAGAGTACTGATGGGATCCGGTGCATTAGTGCTTGTATGATCGATCCCATGATGCGCAATTTTAGTGGGCGAAATGGTAATACACGGGGTCGAAGACACATCCTATCGGTCTTGGGAATGTTTGCCCTCATCGTTAACCTTTTAGCGTGCTGATTAAGCTATTTGGGCATAACTTTTGCTAGGAGTGTCCGTTTTCAGCGTGCGAGCACTTTCCGGAAAGGTCTCAACGAAACGCACAAGGGGGCGATGCGTCAGAGACACATCGGGGCTTAGTATTGACCTCAATTTCGCTCGTTTCCGGGCCTGTGGCCTATTTTATGTTCAGCCCATTTATTTCTCGTTCCTAGGCCCGTTTTGACTTCTGTTCGTTTTGGGTTTTGGCCACCCTTGTTTTGTGTGGCTTCCCGATGCACTATGGAAGTTCACGCAACCCTTTTGCGCGCTAGATAGTTTTTAAAAGAATCAAGCACATAACTTGCAAAATATGATGAAAAGAACAAAAAGGGGTGCAACACGAGGACTTCCCAAAGGGTCACCCATCCTAGTACTACTCTGGGCCAAGCACGCTTAACTTCAGAGTTTTGATGGGATCCGGTGCATTAGTGCTGGTATGATCGCACCCATCAAGTGTTGCGCGCAAGATGTTCTTATTCCTAATCCGCTGGCATTGCTCATAGTTTAAGCAACAAACTTAACTTAAGAGTACTGATGGGATCCGGTGCATTAGTGCTTGTATGATCGATCCCATGATACGCAATTTTAGGGGGCGAAATGGTAATACATGGGGTCGAAGACACACCCTATCGGTCTTGGGAATGTTTGCCCTCATCGTTAACCTTTTAGCGTGGTGATTAGGCTATTTTGGGCATAACTTTTGCTAGGAGTGTCTGTTTTCAGCGTGCGAGCACTTTCCGGAAAGGTCTCAACGAGACGCACATGGGGGCGATGCGTCGGAGACCAATCGAAGCTCAGTTTTGACCTCAATTTTGCTCGTTTCCGGGCCTGTGGCCTATTTTATGTTCAACCCATTTATTTCTCGTTCCTAGGCCCGTTTTGACTTCTGTTCGTTTTGGGTTTCGGCCACCCTTGTTTTGTGTGGCTTCCCGACGCACTTTGGAAGTTCACGCAACCCTTTGTGCTCTCTAGACGGTTTTTAAAAGAATCAAGAACATAACTTGCAAAAAAATGATGAAAAGAACAAAAAGGGGTGCACACGAGGACTTCCCAGGGGGTCACCAATCCTAGTACTACTCTCGCCCAAGCACGCTTAACTTCAAAGTTTTGATGGGATCCGGTGCATTAGTGCTGGTATGATCGCACCCATCAAGTGTTGCGCGCATGATGTTCTTATTCCTAATCCGCCGGTATTGCTCATAGTTTAAGCAACAAACTTAACTTAAGAGTACTGATGGGATCCGGTGCATTAGTTCTTGTATGATTGATCCCATGATGCGCAATTTTAGTGGGCGAAATGGTAATACACGGGGTCGAAGACACACCCTATCGGTCTTGGGCATGTTTGCCCTCATCGTTAACCTTTTAGCGTGGTGATTACGCTGTTTTGGGCATAACTTTTTCTAGGAGTGTCCGTTTTCAGCGTGCGAGCACTTTCTAGAAAGGTCTCAACGAGATGCACATGGGAGCGATGAGTCAGAGACCCATTGGGGCTCAGTTTTGACCTCAATTTCGCTCGTTTCTAGGCCTGTGGCCTATTTTATGTTCAGCCCATTTATTTCTCGTTCCTAGGCCCGTTTTGACTTCTGTTCGTTTTGGGTTTTGGCCACCCTTGTTTTGTGTGGCTTCCCGATGCACTTTGGAAGTTCACGCAACCCTTTGTGCTCGCTAGACAGT